GCCACAAGAACAAATTAAATTATTCTCCCTACAATGGGAAGACATTGTCTAATGAACTTTGACATGTTATCAGGAAGAACCGATTCCTGAAAAGGGACATTGTACTTGGTAAAGTAGAAGACCATGATGAAAAGAAGGCTCTCAGTGACACTGATTGCCTCAGTAACTGCAACAGTAGACACACACACAAAATGTGAAAATGGCACAATATTAGTGTATTGTCTACAGTTTGTTTGGTTATACATAATGTCACTATGAACTGGAGTGAGCTCATTGGTACCTAACAACAAATATAAATTTTCAAAAAATAATAAAGTCAGAATGTGGTTGGTTTAGTGTCGAATCAACCACAACTGAGTATTTATTTTCATCTAACTTTTTTTTTTCATTTAAATTTATACTTTATGAAATATCATCACAGTATTAACATGAGTTAAAAATGTACAATGTCCATTAGCAACAGGAGGAGGAGAGGAAAGGGGGATGGAATGTAATCTCCGATCTTCGTACTTGGGTTTTGACCCAACAGAGGGCTTCCAAAAGTTAGACAGAATTCAGGTACCAAATGTATATGAGCTGCCCCATAAAGATAATCTTCAATCAATGATGATCAATGATAGTTAGAATTGACAGGTTAATTGATCTAAGCAAGATCTTAGCGTTAAGAATGAGGGCAGGCAAATGGGTTAAGAATTCAGCTGTTCCACCAAAGAAAGTAGGGGTGACACCCCCACCCCCCGAAGAACAAAGAGAATTTCAGTACTCAGCTCAAATGACACCAGCGACTTAGCCCAAGCCCCATCAAGAAAACTCACGACTGAGAAGTTGACAGCCCAATGCGCAATCGATTACACCAATTGAAGGTTAGATGTTCAGTATCTCATGTAAACATTTTAAATAAACTTGATTGGAAGGATATGTTTAGACTTTTTAATTATTATTTTAGTAAAGTCCTTCCAATGTTACATCTTCCGAAAACCCTATCAATACAGTTCTACATTGAGTAGCATGAGTCATTGTAAGTGCAAAATGACTCCACCGTAACCACTTTGGTTTTTCCCGAAACAAATACAGTAAAACTATGGGTCTCTTAAGGTTTGGAAATCCTTGAAGTTACATGAGCTCATTTTATTTTTCTGTGACCGTAACATAAAAATATTGGTAAATGAAGTAAACCGAGGCGCAGAAACTTAAGAAACTGAATTATAACTCATAGTCAGTCTTTATGTCTGGCAGACCCTTCAGGTTTTCTTATGACACTTCTTGATATTCAAGTATCAAGTGTGGGGGTTGGGGGTGGGGGCGGTTGCAGGACAAAAACCCTACTTTTTAAATACACATATAATGCTATGGATTTGTGGCCAGACTTCACATTGTGATCAACTATAAAGTGAAGCCCTCTTTCTTATAAGCGGAATCTTAATGTAACAAAAAAAAAGCATATGGTTTAACTTGAAAATGAGTCTCTGTCAAAATGATATCCAAAAGTCAGTGGTGTTGAACGCATAGCCAATAAAAATCCCACCTATTAAAAAAAAAAGTTCAGCATATGCCTTTTTTCTTTCCACCTGTAACAACAAATTTCCTCCCCCAAATCATGTTGAAACTGCACAAACTCAAGTTAAATTAGTTATCAATTAGGTTGTTATTATTAAGAGCTGGTTAAAGGCAGTAGATATTAAAGGGAGCAAGGCAATGTTGTGTAGTAAACATTAGCTTCATAAGGTCCCTAAAACACTTAATTAATGAAAACCAAACATGGGTAAAACCAATTTACCCTGATTTACAGACTCTCTTCATCTGGAAACAGCTGTTTAATGTTCTTCTTAAAAACACAGCTTGCTTCCTTCAGTATTAACAAGCTATTATTGTGAGTTATGTCTGTCTTGCAGTGTATAAATTCACTTAAAGTGAATACAAAGAAGTTTATAAAATCCAAGCTTAATGTTGTTTTAACATATGTTGCAAGGGTTTTTCTGAACATTGACATTTTTGATGAACGGCATCTCTCTTTAGGTCTCATAAATTTAACGTTTTTCCCCCTTCTTGGTTATTTGGTTTTGGAGTGTCAGAACAACTCTTGAAGAAAGTCAGAAGGTGTCAGTGGGTGCACACAGGCAGTCAGCAGAAGGTTCACAGAGCATCAGCTTTTGCATTAGATCTGGGGTTGTGTGTTCTTGACATACGTTCACATAAGAGCACTAATTCCAGAAAATCTCCGAGGGTTAGAAAACTATCAGGTTGGTAAAGAAAATCTCTCTTGTTGAGACTCAACTGGGAGAGTCTCTCTACCGAAACATACACACCCCTTCCCCACCACCAACCAGAGAAAAGCCTTCCATGATTCTGGTGCATTTTTATCAAGTTCACTCTTTTTAGCTTTTTAAAAGCTATACTTTAAGCTCATGGTTATTGATTTGCTGCCTTCACTTAAAATATGTAGATGTAACTAATAATGCTACAACTAAAGAAGAAAAGTTAATAGTTATAGAAAGAATACCCTTTTAATAACATGCTGACAGTTGGATAAAGCAAGTATTTGAAGGCTGAAATAGTCATCTCCATCATCGCATTCTTTAATTTCCGTTTCTCCTCAAGCTTCCTGAAATGAAGCGATTTCATCTCTTCTCCATTAATCTTTACATGTTGACAGTGAAATATTCCCAGGTAAAGATTTCTTAAAATAGGGCAATTAGGCTCTGATGTGAAATGTTCATTGGAAAAGGTGCTCTTATAGTTTATGTTTCAATCAAGCATTTCTAGAGCCATGGCAAGGCACTCAAGGTTGTATAAAAACTTAAAATCCCTTTCCCTCTGAAGATGCATCAACGGTACCGCTCACAGCAATCACTGATGACTAACACTCCCACCACCAACAGAGACGGTTTATTTGATCGTGCAGTTATGTTTTAATTTTTACATAATTCTTAGAAAAGTGAATAAAAATACATTCCAAAAATATTTTTAAGTGTTGGAAAAAGCCCATGTAGCACCACAATTGCCAAGTAGCTCTTTCGGAGAAAGTCTTCAGTTTCAAAATCTCCAATCTTTGTGAAAGCAAATTACTTACCCTAAATATTGCCTTAAATAAATGAAGAACTTGGTGAAGTTGTCAGATTGTCTCCGTCATGGGATTACTGGAGGAGCTAGGGATTAAGGAATGAATGAAAGTCTTTAAAAATATTTGTTAATGAGTGGTATCATGATCACTTAGAACATATGCTCTAGTTCCATGACTTTTAGCCTGTTTCATGTGATTTCATATCCAAAGGAATTTCATACATGGCATCCCTGTAAACCATCCCGATAACTCCAATTCTTGTACAGATGTGTTCTGGCTATTTCTTCTGAGAAATTTTATCTATCCTGCCTGACACACTCAGTTGCTCTGTGCTAGTTTATTGGACATCTATCTTCTTTTTTTGTTGTTTATTTCTGATTATTGCAAACTGCTATGGTTGGGGGAATTTGGGATAAGAGTCTCCTAGTGTCTATATTGTGTGAGGGCAGACATTGATTATTTCAATTTCCCATTTTATCTCTAGAGTCTATTAAAATTAATAGGAACTGATAAATATACATTTTGAGAAAATAAAACAGTTAGTAAATAAACAGGGGGTTAAAATAAAAAAAAAATAATAATAAAATAATAATGCCAAAATTGGCATTGCATATGAAATCACAAAAGCAGAAGTTGTTCAGTACAGGGAAGACACAAGCAGATCTGAACTAAATAGCCAGGCAGACAGACAGACAGGCAAGAGACACCATTGTTACAGCCGAGTCTGATTCATGACACATGAAACAGAATGAAATGCTGCCTGGTCCTGCATCCGCCTTCACGGCTGACATCCTGTTTGAATTCCTGATTGTAACTCTTTGGCCAATCCATACCTCACCCCGAACACCCACCCTTGGTGTGATGTTCTCCCCTAGTGATTCATTCCTGCTCCTAGTTTCTCCAAAGCAGGCAACTAACTGCTTCTAGTGTTCCATGTGATACAGCAGGTTTTAATTGGATTCTTTTTCAGAATTAAGTCACTAGGTCTTTCTTCGCAGAATGTCTTACTTAGTCTGTGAGCACCAGGAAGTCTTTGCATCTTGGGTGACCCTGCATGTATTTGAAATACTTGTGGCACAACCATTTTGATCAGGATCACAATAGAACATCCTGGGAGGACAGGTGGGAAAAAGATGCAGAACAAAATTCAAAATCATAAAAGAAGACCAGACTGACTGTTTTGCTAGAGACCTGTGCAAACCTCAAGACTGAGACTCCTCATAGGCCCTCTCCCGCCCCAGAACCGAAAGCACCCTTAGTGATCATCATCAGCCCAACAATAGGCAGGCCGAGGAAACGAATAATGATATAGAGGAGCAGCAGACTCAGTAAGCAACCACGTAAGACCAAAGGGGCAGTATTTCATCTAAAATAAAGTTGAGAAACAGAAAAGAAGGATGGATGGAAACCGGGAAGCTAGAGAGCAAGGAGGAACAGTTATATTGCACTGAAGGGTTTACAACCAAAGTTACAAAACATGGTGCATATACATCATTGAATGGAAACCTTGTGCTGTAAACTTCCTGCCAAATATCAATAAAAAGAAAAATAGAAGAAGTTTCAGCACCACAGCAATAAGCAAGCCACAACCATATGGCAAACTGTCAGATAGGTGGTGGAGATGAGAAATAGAGCTAGGGAAATTGGCAAGACTAGACCTAGGGAGATGAATGAATTATGTAGGCATCTTGAGTACTTTCTGTGGGATATGGTCACTAGGAGAGAGCTATTCCAATTTATTTTGGATATAACTTTGGAGTAATGTGCACACAGAGTTGGAATCAGCTATCAGTCACAAGCAGGGAGATGAGGCAGGATGCCAGAGCGCCACTGACATGAGAGTTGGTGGGGATTAACCGAGGGATCAGAGGAAAGAGGATGGATGCAGTTTCATCTGAAGTATTCCCATGTGTCTTCAAATCTCCTTTGTGTCTTTCAGGTGGATCGCCAGCCCCAGTTTATTCAAGGCTACCGGATTATGTATCGACAGACTTCTGGCCTGCAGGCTACATTGGCATGGCAGAATTTAGATGCCAAAGTCCCAACCGAAAGAAATGCTGTGTTAGTCAATCTGAAAAAGGGGGTGACTTACGAAATTAAAGTTCGGCCCTATTTTAATGAGTTCCAAGGGATGGACAGTGAATCTAAAATAGTCCGTACTACTGAAGAAGGTCAGTATTCAGATTTCTAAAATATACCAACCTATATCATCGTAAAACAAATTTCTTCTTTGATACTAACTTACCACCTTTCTTAGAAGAGTATACAGACACAATCTAAAAATGAATTTAGGAAGTATAGTTTTTAGTTTTCATTGCACTCTGAATGCCATAGAATGCTGTGACAGGTTATATGTATAATAATACTAATTTGAGTTTTTCTTAAGTAAACCTTTGCCCCCAATATTCCAGGTGTATCTAGACTGCAATGGAATGAGACTATTTTCCAGTCTGTCTAATGTGAGCTTTAGCTCAATTAGCTTCATTAAAGAGCGGCTACCAGAAATGCAAGTGCAGAGGCTGCTCTCGGTGACTTTTCTTTCGAAGAGAAGTTTTAAAGGTCCTCAGTGAATTTTTCTCTGGGTTCTGCCAACCGGACCCATAATTTCTACCCCAGAATCTCACTGCCATCTTTGCCGTGGTTTTCTTCTGAGTCATGTTTGTTTGGGTTTGGGGCTCGGCTTGTTGTTGTTTTTGTCCCCTCACCTTTGGGACTGTTCTTCTCTACCAATACTTTGAAGCATGAGCTTCAGTAGTTCATTTCCTAGTTTTCCCTTCATGAAAACACCAATAAAGTAATCCGTTTTAGCTATCGATATTATAGGGACCCTTTTATTATGCTTTTTTACATATTTTATGTGTATAACCCTTATAAAGAGTTTTTTTCCCTGAGCATATTGTAGATTAACTACTACAAGAGCAGTACTGAAAAACACGTGTGGCAATTTCACATGCTGACAGGGACTTGCCTTTGTTTGACTAACGAGCTTTTGAAGTATATGCTTCTTATAAAAGATTCTCTTTACATGGTTTACACTATTGAGATACTGGCACAAGCAAAAGCGGATGTTTTTAAAGACATCAGGTGTTGATTTTTAGGATCTGTAAAGATGGAGATAGTCACCCCAATGAAGAACGGTTCTTTATTCTCGATCTAATTTCACTCCATGCTGCAAAAGTGTGGTGCTAATAAGTGGGGTGGATACATTTAATGTAGAAGGCTTCATTTGAAACGCACTTCCAAAAATCAATTTCACTGCAGACTCTGCCTCTGGATCAGACGTTTGTCGCCAAGCAGACTGTAGTCATCTCTGAGTTCTGTGGCCTTGTGAAGGTAACAAATGGAACGCAGCTGGCCTCTATCTGGGGACGATGAGCAACCCTTTGGGCTCTTCCCACATCTGTAGATAGAAGTTGAGGGCTGAAATATTTGACCTGTCAGAAAGCAGGCATGATGTTCTCCCCAAGCCAGCAGCCTGGCAAATGAGAAAGCCATTTTGAAAAGTGCTCTTTTTCAGTGTGGTCCACTTGATCACTGCAGAGCTAGTAGACAGGCAGTTGAATCTACGTCATTGTGCCGCATGTTGGAGCAAGATCACCACATGGGAGAATGATAAAGGGGAGTGTTGTGTTTACATGTCTGTGTGTCCCACCTCAGTGCAGATACGGCCAGACCTCAGTGAACTGCCATTGTAGCGAATGCACCCAACCTGGGAATCCTTACTGGCAGAGTCTAAATGTCCATCTTCGGATTCCATTTTACGTATTTTTACAGGACTAACCTGTGTAGCATTTTCAAGCATTGACCCTTCTTGATGAAAACCCTTTAATGCCACAAAAGTCTTTGATATTTTAAGTGTCAAGGAGACTTTTAGACAGACTCTTTTGAGTTTGCTTTTCTACATTTGGTTTAATCACAGCGATTCACTGAGAAGAGGTTTTTTTTTTTTGGCTGAAAAATTACCATTTCCGAGCTCAGATGCATTGTATTGAATATGCTGCAATCTAAATTCAAAAATAGATTCTCTTTCATCTTTCATAATTGTGGTTGTAATTGGGCATAGGAGAAACTATAAAGGAAAATAATTATTGTAGGACATTAAAATCTGCTTATTTCCTATTTGAACTATCGAGAACTGCTTTTATTTCTATCATCTCAGTCTTTTCCCCATCCATATAAAATAAGCTTATAAACCTTAAATTAGAGGTCAAATTATCACAATCATTTTATTCAATATGAAAAACAAAATAATTTGTCTCCTGCCTCTGTGTAAAGAAAATCAATTTTTATTTTTATTTATCCAATAAAACACAAATCAACTAAAAAATAAAAAGCTGTTAATATGGTCACTACTCAGAGTTAACTACTGTAAAAAAATTGGGAACATAGACTTAAAATATCTGTGTAGTGCTTGGTTATTTATTTATTGTAACAATTTTAGAAAGGTTTTGTTAAGTAGGGGTTTACATTTCCAATCTTCAACTTTTTATTCCATAATTTAAATAGTTTACTCTACCTCCATCCCTTAGATTTCTCTTCTTCCTTGGATGGATTATTATCTTCCCTTTAGTACAGCAGTTCTCAACCTGTGGGTTGCGACCCCTTTGGGAGTCGAGGGACCCTTTCACAGGGGCTGCCGAAGACCATCAGAAAACACATATTTCCAGTGGTCTTTGGAACCAAAACACCGCTCCTCTATCCGTCTCCAGATGGGTCCGCCCACATGCAGATATGCCCATATACAAGTACCAAGCATGAAGACTGTTACCCATGCTACACCATGCTTCAAGACAAAATTTCATTTATATGTAATTTGAAATAAATATTTCACAATGTATAATTACACATTTTTTGTGATTAATCACTATGCTTTCATTATGTTCAATTTGTAACAATGAAAATACATCCTGCATAGCAGATATTTACATTATGATTCATAACAGTAGCAAAATTACTGTTAGGAAGTGGCAACAAAAATAATTTTATGACGGGGGGTCACCACCTCATGAGGAACTGTATTGAAGGTTGAGGACCAGGGCTGAAGGAACTTTCCTAAGGAATTTTCTCTCAACCCTCCAGCTTTGCTTCATCTTCTCTCCTTCGCCCTCTCCACCGAGGGAGCCTCCAAAGTCCGTTGTTGTTGAAACTCTTATTGTTTCGTTCCTTTTAACAATGACCCATATGCAATATTTTCCCTTTTGTGATTGGTATATTTCATTCAGCATAATGGTCTCCAGGTCAGTCCATGCCGTGAGGTGTCTCATAGCTTCAGCATCATTTTGGTTTTCAGGGGTACATAGTATTCCTATGTGTATATTTCTTCACCCATTCTTCCACTTGTGGGCATTTAGGCAGTTTCCATCTTCTCCCTATTGTGAACAGTGCTGCGATGAACATGGGTGTGTGAATCTCTGCCTGTGCTATGACTTCATTAGGGTATATAGCCAGCAGAGCACTTTCTGGATGGCATGGAGTTTCTATACCCAGTTGTTGGAGGTGATGCCATAGTTGTGAATATTGCCACTGTCACCAGCAGTCTATGAGTATTCTAATCTCTCCATACCCTCTCAAGCGTTTTTATTTTTTTAATTGTGCTGACATTGTTGGTATAAGGGGAAATCGCAGCTTTGCTTTGATGTTGATCTCCTGGATGGCCAGTGGGTGTGAGCAGGTCTTCTAATGTGGGTTAGACATTTGCATATCATCTTGAATGAATCATTTGTTCATATCCATTGGCCATTTTTAAATTGAGTTATTTGTCTTTGACTTATTGAAGTATTATAGTTTTCTATAGTTCTCTTAAAATATTGTTGATAACACTGCTTTCTTAAGAAAGACAACCTGTCAGAGGTTAGGAACCGAAACTCCAGAAACAAAGGTGGATTGCAATCCTGACTTGTTCTTTGACTTGGTGAGCACTGTTAAAGTGACCATCTGTTTTCTCCTCTGTAAAACTGAGAGAAGCATTATTTCCCCCTTATGAAGTCATTATGAAGATGAAGTCAGGCACTTAGTACTAGCATATAGAAAGCTGGCCTTAGAATTTACCATTGACTGTTAGGTTTACTATTGAGTGCATAGTACCACAGCTATTGCATTGGCTTGAAATCTCTTGATTATGCTCAATATTTAAGGATTTTTTTCTTCTGCAGGTTTATCATGTTGAACAAGACTATATACAAATTCAGAGCCACTAAAACCCAGAAGCTTATGAATCTTATCTCTATATTCATACTCTCTAATCAATGTGAACTCACTCCCAAACTTCCTATTTGTGTGTATTCATTTTGTCCCTTCTGCAGCCCCGAGTGCCCCGCCACAGTCTGTCACTGTGCTGACGGTCGGAAGCCACAATAGCACAAGCATTAGTGTTTCCTGGGACCCCCCTCCTCCAGACCATCAGAATGGAATTATCCAAGAATACAAGGTAAGCACAGAGATGTAGGTTTCCAGAGGCTCCCAGGGTCCCATGGGAGTTTGTCTCTGAGTGTGTTTAAATATAAAGTGATTATTTGCCAGACCATGACAATGTCCTCATGTGACATGTGATAAAAAAAAGAGTAGGGTATTAGACCTTAACTCCAAGGTCACGTCTATATAACACAAGCTTTCTGGACAAGTAAATCACCACAGTACAAATGACTTCTTTAAGTGTGATCCCAGAACACCGAGAGTAGACACCCTCATGCCTAGAGTTGCCCTTTTCGTCACTATTGTGATTATGAGTAAGAAGCATTTGGAACCGCTGGGTTTTAAGCTGTGTTCTCTTAAAAAACATGCTTCCTGATGTAGAGAACACAGTGGGAAGAGAGGAACAGCAGTTGGTGCAGGGTAGGTGGATGGGCACAACCAGTTCTAATTCTTAGATTTTGTTTTTATCTATTTTTTGAGGTCCTATATAAAATTCAATTTAGAAAAAGGGAACCATTATATAAAAAAGCTTGAGAAAACTAACATAAAAAAGCGGATTGTCTCATTTTCAACTGGTAAATGTGTTGCTGTTTAGAAAGATCTATTGCATCATTGCCCATCATTTGAAGTTTATTTAAGATGCAGACTATGTCTACGTTTGTGAAATAAGGTTTTGTTCAATTGTGATGTGATCATACCATATAAGAATGTAAGAAACCCCATTAAACTTGTAAAACTATCAAAGCTATGAATGTTTGCTATTAATACATATTTATAGAATTCCAAAAATAGCATAACAGATAATTATAGTAGAACATACAACAAGGAACCCCTTCTCATCCAGGAATACTTAATTGTCATGTAAAACAAACTGAATAATCTCAATGAAATATGATAGCATTGCATTTTGTTATTTTTCAGAAAAATTATAAATTTTAAGTAGAATTTTCTTAAAATAAAAATCTTTTTTGCTGGAAGCAATGGATTCCATATGCAAAATAACTTATTTTTTTAAAAATCCCCATCACATATTAAAAATAACATACATAATAAATATAAAAATGTTTTTACAATAGCATGATTCTATAAATATTAATATTTTATTAATTTTCTTAACAAATGTTAAGATATATTACTTTTTAAATTCTGAATTGAGTGGGGCATTTTCATTTCAGATCATCAACTTCCATTTCAAACTACTCATCAACTCCCAGGGCACACATTTTTCTTTCAAAGAAAAGAGTTGTCCACTATGGTTTTATGTATGTGCATGTATGTGTGTGTCCTATGTTTTATGAGGCTGGGGATGAGTTTTTGTACAATTTGTGATAAAGTATCCTAAGCCTTTATTTAGTTAAATCTCACATTTTTACATAGGTTGTAGTTTAGCACTCAAATATTTTCATATTTGGGATGAAAGCATATGTATTTGCATATACGCTTATACATATTCCATTAGGAAGAATATAGGTGTCATAATGAAAATAATGAAAACATAACATTTACAGAAAATTTGTTACAAATCCAATCATGTATGTTCCTACATGAAATAATACATAATATGGAAACACATATATGTACACTGTAGAATTATTTTAGGTCAAATTTTATAATAACATATCATAGAAGAAAATGGACCCTGGAACTTTAATCCAAGTGGATTAAAGGTGTGTGCTTTCCAATATCAGTGTCCCTGTACCAATATTAAATTCCCAATATTAAAGACCTTCACCACTTGGTCTTCATGCATGTGTATGTGTGTGTATATATGTTTTGATCAATATTAAGATTTATTAGTGCCAATGTAAACATTGACTTTCATTTCATCTCAGTCAATACCTGTTACTTGAGTCCATTAATCTTGTTAACTACTACAGTGTAAGGTAATATTTTCTTAAATGAATTATAAATCACTTAGCTGTACATCTATATACCTTAAGTATTATATCTTGTAATCACCATATTTTTATGGTTTATATACATAATACATTTTTATAAATTAATTACACAGAGGAAATGTTGTGTTTTAATCTTAGTAAGATGCCATTTGCAACCAAAAACTAATTTCCAGAAGCATGAAAGGGATCATTTTGCTTTCTAAATTCATTGTAAGCATTCATTGCTGACAGTAAGACAGTGAGTAAACATGGTGTAGTTTTAGAATCCCTTTTTGTCATTACTTTAATGCACACACACACACACATACATAATATACATATGAAAATAGACTTCAAAGTTAGAGCTTTAGAAAAGTCATATGCAGCCCTAGAAAATAGATTGGTCACCATTAAAATTTTAACCAATTATAATAAATACTAAACATTATAATTTCATATTCTTTTGTTATTAACTTTCGATTTCTGTAGATCTGGTGCTTGGGCAATGAAACTCGATTCCATATCAACAAAACTGTGGATGCAGCTGTTCGGTCTGTTATCATTGGTGGATTATTCCCGGGTATTCAATATCGAGTAGAAGTTGCAGCTAGTACCAATGCAGGGGTTGGAGTAAAAAGTGATCCCCAGCCAATCATAATTGGTGAGTACCAAACTATCTGGTCTATGTCTCAGAATTAGACAACTAACAAGTAGGTAGAATAGTTGACTGAATGTACACTCCAAACACTCGTGTCTGATAGGTGTTGATGAATGATAGACACATTTCTTATACGTGGAAGTATTTTCATACAAAACTCAAATTTTAACCTTCTTAAGAGTTCTTTAAGATTCTTTAAGTTGTAATCACTGAGAATGTTAATATTGAAAGTTACTTTGAAAAATGTTTTAAAACAATAGTTTCATTGATTTGAGTACATTGAAATGCAGTAGAAAATGAGATAACTCATGAAGACTGCATTTTTTCCAATTTAAATGCTTCCTCTTTGGCAGAAGATATATATTCTTTCCAAAATCATCTTACTGGTAGCTATTATTTTAAAAAATAACTAGAAGGTACAAGATTGTTTGTAATCCAAATCTACTATTTCAAAGAAGACATTTCAGTTGTATTCAATATCATTGTTGCATAAAATTCCTCCTTTTTGATGTAGATTACATTTTTGTATTCTTGCTATTTATGTAAACAGAAGTATACAGTGTATCATATTTTTTGTTCTGGTTTCTCACATTCTTTGAGATGCTTCCATGGGTGTGTTATGTAATATATATGTATGTATTATTACTGAACTACATGTGTATGCAACTGTGTGTATACCAGTTTTGTCTATCCAATTTTTATTGAGAAAGTGAAAATTTTTTCTTTTTTTTGTTATTGATAGGTGCTTTATTTATTTTAATTTTTAGCATGTTTTTCTTTTTCTTTTTTTAAATCGTTTTATTAAGGGCTCATACAAATCTTATCTCACACATACATCTTTTGTGTTAAGCACATTTGTACATTCATTGCCCTCGTCATTCTCAAAACATTTGCTCTCCACTTAAGCCCCCGGCATCAGGTCCTCATTTTTTCTCCTCCCCGCTCCCCCCTCCCTCATGAACCCTTTATAATTTATAAATTATTATTTTGTCATATCGTACACTGTCTGACGTCTCCCTTCACCCACTTTTCTGTTGTCCGTCCCCCAGGGAGGAGGTTATATGTACATCTTTGCAATTGGTTTCCCCTTTCCAGCCCACCCTCCCTTCACCCTCCTGCTATCACCACTTCACTCTTCACTCTTTCTCTCCAGGAGCATAATATACCTCTTCATTATCAAAGTCTCCTTTAAGGATTCAGTAATATCTTGTAGTTTTCAGCATAATCCATTAAGAACTTTAAAAATTCTGAGTATTTAATGTTTTTATTCTACTGTAATTAAATTTTACAAGTTTCATCTAATTGTTTTATACACACACACACCAAAAAGTAATAAGAAGAAAAACTCCGCTAGTAAGTTAAAAAGTATTGCTACTAGATTTCCAGTTCAAACTCCCCTAGGTTTATTCCAAACAAAACCTGTTTAAACACAGCTCTGTGATCAGCGGATGGCTGCAGACAAGTTCTCTCAGCAATGTGCTTGTCTTAGACTAGATAGGTGCCTTCCCAAAATGGTACTTTTTCTATCACAGGAAAAAAACGATTTTGATGTCAGGACTTTTACCACATTTTAAACAAAAGTCAAGTGGAAATATTCCCAAATCACCGAAGCTTTGAAACCTGTTGGCAGGAATGTCGCTCTACACAAAACAACAGTTTTTAGTTGGATCGAGTATTTTTAAGCAGAGAGGTCAGCTCAGAATGTAAGTCACATATGCAGGGTGGGAGGTTCAAAAAAGTATCTTGATAAATGTTCGTGAAGGTCGCATGATGTGCTGGTGGTTTATTGCAAAGAAGTACATTTTACATTACATGCTGCATTGGTGAGGAAAAGAGCAGGGAAGGTGTACTGAGAAATCTCTCTCTCTCTCTTTTTTTTTTTTTTCTCGCCAAGGCAGTGCATCTGCTTTTTCTGGAAATCTTGTTCCAGCTACCCACCATCCTGATGTTGCCCTTTTAGATTTTTTTTTGAACCCAAATATCCAGGACCATTTAAAAGGAATATGATTCAAGTCTCCAACAGAATCCCAAAGTGCCGTGTTGATGTGGTGGAGATTGAAGAGCAGAAAATTCTTAGGGGAAGGCACAGAGAGGTGGAAACACCACCTTTAGAAATGTACAGACACACTAGCTTCACAGTTTGATACTTTTGTTTGGTAGCATTCTATGATTTTGTAACACACTTTTGTACGTATCATTGAATATTTACTTTTATACCCTATGCTTGTGCTGTTACTAAATTCGCTAAGGTTTACTAGATTTCAATTGTGTTTTTCTAAGTACATTCAGGTAACCATGTTTTCTTATTACTAGTGGTGATATAGTGAATTCTACTGTATGGCATTCCGTAGTAGCCTTATGTGTGGAATGAATTCTACTTGTCATGATATATGTATATTACAGATTTTGCTAGATCCAGTTTATTAACACTGGGTAAAGGAGTATGTATTTATGTTCTTGAGAAAGATCACGCTGTAGTTTTCTTCTAACAAAAGAGTCAGGGTTTAGTTGCAGGCTGCTATTGGTTTTATACAATGTGTTGGTAAGTGTCCCTCTCTTCTCCGTATTCTGTAGAATATTGCATTTGCAGTTGTTGTTAACAGTGAGTTATGGTAACCCGAGGTATGACAAAGTAAAACTTCTCCAATGAGGTTTTGTAGCTATAATCTTTTCATATCGTTTAGATAACCAAGCCCTTTCTTCAAAGTGTGAGTCTGAATCACCAGCGTTTCAGATTAGCCACAGGTCACAAAATGCCACTTCTACCTTGGTTGCTTAGATGATTTCATAGGATTAGTGTCTTTCCTTCTTTAAGTAGTTTCTGTATTTCAATTATGTTATTTGTGCATAGAGTTTTCCATATGTGTTGGAAGGATGTTATGGATTTATGCTATTAAGACTGGTTTATTTTTCTTGTGCTGATTGTTGTAAATATGCCTTTTACCCACCGGTGAATTTGCCTATTACATCCCAGTTGTTGAATATACTGAATTGTTCATAAGAACCCCTAATTATCATTGTGTCTCTCTAAAGGATTATATGAATAGCATCTTTTTTTATCTTCACACATTTGGAAATTGTGTTTTATTTCTTTTCCCAACTTCCCATCGTTTCAAACCAATCTCAGGAATTTATCAATTTATTAATTACTTGGCTTTCTTAATATTTCTCACTATATTATTTTCACCTACTTTCTTTTGCTTTGATACTTACAACAAATTATTGAATGCTTACCAATAATCTCAGGCCATTCTTCCTTCCTAATAAGAGTATTTAACTACAAATGTCGCTGTAACTATGTCCTCTGATGAATCCCATAAATCATGATGCCTCACATCTAGTTTTCTATGAACAACCACAAATCCACTGCCATTGCTTCCATTACCCCTTTAGGAACCCTATGATAACTCTGCAAGAGAGAATAGGACAGACCCATAAGGATTCTGATACTATAATCTTTTCACAAGCAGACTATAACATGTTTGATAGTTAGCACATTTTCTATTTTTATTATGGATTTTATTTTACCGCAGAGGTCATTTAATAGTGTATTGTTCAAATACTAAATATTTGGGGATTTTCCATGCAGCCATTATGTCACACCTATAACTTGATTTTAGTTGTATCTAAGAATGTACGTTGTATGAGGTGTGCTTTAAAGATGTGATAGACGCCATGGCCGTCTGTGACCAGATAACAGTCATCCGATCTACAGCCAGTCACGAGGATAACCCAACCTTTTGTTCCATGCTGCATGGCATTGCCAGAGCCCAGGCTAACTCAAGCACGGCTAACAACAAACTATTCGCTCCATCTTGTGTTTGGATGATTTTTCTTTTTTCATTCTCTTACTTTCACCATTTTCCCCATGTTTAAAGCATATTCCTATTATTTAAGAAACACATTGTTATATTGAAAATTTTTTATGTTTTAATTTTTTCAGTCTGATAATCTTTGCTTTCTAATTTGAGTGTTCAGACTCGTATATTGAATGTCAGCATTCAATATAATGCTTGGCTTCAAAATGATCATTTAGTATATGTTAGCAATTGATCCTATCTGATTTTAGTCCTGTTTCCCTAATTTCTTGCTTATGGATCAAGTAACATTCAGTACGTTAAGCCCACTATTGTAATTAGCTGCACTTTCTTCTTTGTTTCCAGAATGATTGCTCTAGTGTTTGTTTTATTGTGTACAGTTCTTAAACCTGTTGTCATCAAGCTCATGCCGACTCCTAGTGATGCGTTAGGACAATGTACAACTGCTCCATCAGAATTCTGAGACCAAACAATCTCATCGCACTCTGAAGGGGCAGCTGGTGGTTTTAACCAGAGCCCTTGTTGTTTGGCCCAATGCATAATCTACTACCCCACCAGGGTTCCGGTAAAAGTATTGTTGCTGATAGGTGCTGTTCGGTCGGTTCCAAGGAATAGGCACCCGCTGGACAGTGAGTGATACAGGCTGGCCCTGCAATGTCCTCACAGTTGTCCATGTCTGGGCCCACTATTCCTGAGCGTCTTCTTTCACTGACCCTCTGCTTTACCAAGCATGATGTCGCATGATGTCCTTTACCAGTGACCCGTTGTTCCTAAGAACATGTCCAAAGAACATGAGACAAAGTCTCCTGATTCTCACGTGCAAAAAGCGTTCATGTTATACTTCTTCCAAGTCAGATTCGTTTCTTTGAGCAGTGCATGCTACTTTCGATATTCTTTGCAAACGCCATAACTCAAGTGCATCAAATTTTCCTCAGTCTTCTTTATTGAATGCTCAGCTTTCACCTCCATCTGAGGTGACTGAAAATACCACAGCTTGAGTCAAACGCTATTTAGTCCTCAAACTCATATCTTTTCCCTTGAACACTTTAAGGAGGTCTTGTACGGCAGATTTGCCCAGGATCGCTTGACTGCTGCTTCTGATAAAGCAGTATCGATTCTGTATTTCCCTCCTCCTTATCTTTCTTAGACTTTCATTATATATGTAGGAAACAAAATATAATATAC